AAGTCGCATTTGGCCCCCCCAAAAAAGGATCCCCTAGGCCCTAGGGCGCCCGGCTACATGGAACTGAAATTCATCTGCAGGTCCCCTTTGTAGAGAGCTGGCGTTCCGGTGCAAACTCGCGTCAAATTCGCGTCACATTCGCGTCAAACCACAAGACTCACAAGACGATAGTATTATGAGAATATCATGATCTGTGGCAATGTTGTACCAGTTTCTGACCTGGAACACTCGACGTCTCGGAACTAGTCAGTAACTCGTGAGAACCACGCAATTCAAGCCACGAGCAGCCACGAAACCAAAGCACACACAAATACACACGCATGCACGCAGAACAGGAGAACTCACACTCCGAACCCGAAATGCATGCGTGACCCTCTGCTGCCTGCTGGCTGCCTGCTTTGCCCTTTGCCCGCTGCTGCTCCTGCTATTCTTACTGCTGCAGAACTTACACCAAATGGCAGCAATTGGGCAATTGGCAGCACTCACTCAAAGGTTCTAACACACTGCGTAAAAGTTCCGGGTTTGGGTCTCCTGGGCCCGGGCCAAGACTTTGGCATCTCATGTAAACTCCCAAAAACCCTGCACCCTAAATCCTCGACCCTGAACTGGCCCTGAACCGAAAATTGTGGCTTCGGCCTGGCCTGAAACCCCCAAATGAGCGATTTGAGGGCTTAGAGTTGACAAGGGGTTTTGGGGATTCCAGTTTGCCATATTGGAACTAGCAGAACCGGAGCCCGGGGCGCGGGTCCGCCAAATCGAGGAGTACGACCGCGACCACGGGCTCGTCCCCGTCGGCCAAGCTCAAGGCGCTTCGCTGGGACAGCGCTGAGGTCGAGGTCGTCCGAGCGTCTTGGACTGAAGACGTTGCCTGGGCGGCACAAGTCACAAGGCAATGCTCAAACCTGGGATTCCTATGGTTCTTCACTGCGTCTTGAATGAAATCGGTACACACGACTTCCAATTCCATCACGTATGTAAGATCATGATCATGAGTCCATGAGTCAGGACTCGTGAGACCTTCTTGGACGACATGCAAGTTTCCATGTCTTCAGGTGGCTTAGGTGTTTCATCCCCAATCGTACCTTCATCATCATCATCATCATCTTCATCGCCGTCAGGACGACCTTCACGCTTGCCCATGACAGTTCTGCGCAGCTTGTAGAAAGCAGCTGGCTGATTTGGTTGTATCAATGAGCCTGATGATCCATCCTCAGGAAGACGGCAAGAATGCACTACATGTCAAAGGTCTATGCAGTCTATAGTACAGGAAGAAAACACTGGTCTATTATAGCTCATAGCACAAGGAGAAAACACCAGCTGCGCCGTGCACCGCATAATGCAGCAACCTTGGCCAAGCGTCACCCATAAATTCAACATAGTACGCCTTTACTTGGAAGTGGTAAACCTCACGGCCCAATGTCTCAGATGAAATCAGAGCGAGGAGATACTCCTTGTACAGCCCTCCATTGCCTTGCAGGTGGTGATAGTAGATCTTGGGGCTGCCGGGCCGGTATGGCTCAGTCCTCTTGGGCGCCGGGTTGGTGAGTTGCACGCGTTGCCAGCCATCTTGCTGCAGCCTGACGACTAGTTCATAACGTGTCCAACCAGAGTCTGGATTTGCTCCCGGGGCAAATCGGCAGTGTCTGCTCAAAGGCACAGGATTGCAAAGATGCCTTGGGCACGAGAGAAACCTCTCTCCGGCAGGTGTGATGTAGTAGTGGTCGCAGACATCTGACCCTACAGCTGGTTGTACCAATCCATTGTTCAGCAAATACCTCAGCCCCGGGGTGGACTCGTGGCAAAAACGAGGTTTCACCCCCGCACGGCCACTGTCTCGTTGAAAAGCACCATTACTGGCAAACTGCAGAAAGAGTTCTTTCGCGTGCTGCCGGTCGCCATCGTCGTCCTGCTCATCATCGCACACATTGCCCCTGCCAGGAGATAGCTTGGGCGTTACAAAGTGTAGTTAGTACTTAGTACTTATAGCAACGCTTAGGGCCCAGGGGTGCCAAAAGAATCTGGGACTGTACAAGTTGCAAGACCTTGTACGGTTGCTATTTCATGGGCCCTGGGTCTTCTTGAGCTTGGCTTGACTTTCCAGCATGCAACGGAACAGATAATTCAAGGCCACACGTCAGGACAACCATGGCATTTTCGCTCGGCCCTATTCCCTTTATGAATTCAATGCCACTTTGTTGTCGCAATCTCTTGCTGGGCTGGGCTGTTCAGTGAGTCAGGGGTACGATTTGTGCCTGGGCAAGGAAAACCAAGTAACCAAAGTCGTCATCCTGCCTGAAAGTGCAATGCTAGCAAGGGGAAAAAGGGGAGTCCTGCGCGCAATGCACTAACTAACAGGACGCCGACCGGCCAGGACAAACGGCCTTGGGATCACACCAGTAGCAGTGCCACCATCCGGTACCAGCTGCTTGCTGACCGCAAATGCTACGGCATGACCGCGAGAATGCCCGGACCTGTCAGTGGTTGAAGAAGACAAATCATGCCAGACTGTCCAGTTGCTGGCGATTGCGTCAAAAGAAGAGCCAAAAGCGATAGCTTTTGGAGTTCCCATTGGCGTCACATAAGCTCGGACTGGCTGCTCTGGCGGATCCACGTTGCCCTGATAAATCTGCGCCAGGCAATCGAATTTCGGAAAAACAGCATTGCCAAGCATGCAGCTGGCTCGCACGGAGCTAGCATTCGTGATGACATCGATGAACACAGTATCATGCAAGAAAGATCCAGGCAACTCTAGTGCCGCAGCCGGAAGGCAGTGAAGATTCCCGGACCCCGGGACCGAAGCTGCCACCACAGCAGCTTGCAGGGGCGCAGGACTCACAGGATTCACGAGCGCCAAAGTTGCGCCCATAGCATGACCCCGACTCACCACCGTCACTGATCCTTCATCTTCAACTTCGCCATCATCGACTTGTCGTTGCACAGGCGCAGCTTGCCATGATGTCTGTTCCATGCTGAGGCCGTGGGCGGCTGTTTCAGCGCCAGTCCACGTTGAATCCCCTCCGATGAAGCCAGCTGAAGCTGCCGAGCTCGAAAACAGCAATTTTTCAGTCTGCGAGACCTTGGGAGTACGGAATTACGGAAGAGTCTCAGGACTCAGAACTCCGAAGAACTCCGAAGGACTCCGAAGTCTCAAGTTTTAATGCCATGAGGTGCAATTTCACTCGATTGGCCGCCCGACACTACGCATGTTGATGGCAACCGTGAATGGAACACCGAGAAGTAGGCGAGGAATAAACGATCAACAGCTCAACATGGGTTCTTTTCCAAGGATAATCAACCCCAGCCAAACAACTGTCAAGTCCACCCGCCTGCTCCCGGTACTCCCCCGCCACCGCCCGACCCCCCCCCCCACCCCCGGCATTTTCATGCCACCAAGCACACCCGCCCCGCAAACCGTTTAAGTTTGGCCCCGGGCCCCACCCTATTAGAACCATTAGCCCCGATCTCGAAACAAGAAACCCAGCTTGAGAAACTGAAACCTGAAAGTCTGTAGTGTTATCGAGCATGCCACCGGCGTATCTTGTCATCTTGGGTAGGGTTGGACTGGTCGGGTGTCGGGCGGGTCAAGCCTCGAAAATGTGCTCGATGATCAGCGCAGCCATGGGATGCACAGACTTGGATCTGGCAACCTCTGGAAGAAGCTGCCGGCGGGCTGCATCGTGCTTCTCCAGCAAATCTTCTAGCTTCCTCTTCTTGTGATGCTTGACGCGAAGGTCGTCCCGGTAAACTACATCTGCCAGCTGTCGCATCGAAAGGCTTTGTGTGTACGGCGTCTGCTGCAACCCCAAAAGATTCCTCAGACGGCTTGGCAGTTACGCTTGGTGAACAAGCAAGTAGTAGTCGTCCTAGTAGTGGCAGTACCATCTTAGCAGCAATAGTAGCAGTAGCATTAGCAGTGGCAACGGCAGTGACAGTAGCGTAGTAGTAGTAGTAGTAG